AATTATTAATAGCAAAGATACTGGTTTATATACGTAGCAATTTTCAACAAGTCATGTTTTATTGGTCGAAAATAGTTTATGAACCATTAAAAATCTTTGGGTCTTACACAATAATTTTATCTAAAATGGTCTTTAGGAAATTGACATGTAGAAGAATAATGTCCGGTTCCATAACAATTGCCACAGTGACGAGTATCTGTTCTTCGTGTAGAATTTCCTCCACCCATTTCATTTCGTTTTTTTGGCCTTTCTTCAACCTCTTCAGTATCGGTTTCAACTATTTGTCTCAATTTATCTGATTTATCTTCCTGTGAACTTTAAACCTCGCTTTGCATTCAAAATTTGTCTTTCATTTAAATTTTCTGCATTCAGATCTTGAACGCTTAACATAGATTTTGGAATCTTTGGACGTCCTTTGTGCTTCAATTTTTTTTTGGATTTTTAATTTGAGTAACTTCAATAATCATCCGATTATTAACGTCAACATCAGTATGATTTTCAGTAAATTTCTCTATCAATCCTGCAAATTCATCAACTAATCCATTATCAAGAGCAAATTTTAGCCCACTTTTAGCTACACCAAAACCATATGCATATTCTTGTTTTTGTGTAATGCTAGTATACTAGCTTGATATGCATCGGGGCCACGAATAGAAATCAACTGATTTATTTGTTCATTTGAATCGAGCTCTTCAATAGCCGTGCCTTCAATCATAGAATAGTCTGATGCTTGCATTGGATCGGTGTACCAATGTTTAAATATAAGTTTAACATCAAACTTCGCATTGCGAGACATCTTAAAAACACTAAAGAAATATCTGCAATAAAAACTATTAGAAATAATATATAGACATGTACAAAGATGCATATTCTCATTTAAAAGAATAACATAATGGGGATAGCTATAACTATGGTGATCAAATAAAGAAACTTTCCAAGTTTCAAGAATATTTTCACAGTTGACCATATTCACAAGATTTTCAAGCAAAGCTTGTAATGCATCATATTCATTCTCAAAATATCCATCTGTATATTCATGCACAGCAGGAAGCTAAAAAAAAAAATGTTAGTTCAATTAAGAACACTCTTGCTAATAATGAATTTATAAAGCCATACTAAAGTCAATTCAAATAAACATGCGTGATATAGGATACTTTGTGATATTTGGATACTTTGAACTGAGGTGAATTTCAATGTTAAATATTTTTTTATTTCATTTTGAACTGGTTCAAAAAACACACTTTGAATACTTGGAAGTCCTTGGGTTGGAAATGCATTTTTATACTCTGAAAGTTGTTGGTATTGTGCTTCATGTTCAAGTTTCATTTGAATTATTTTGTCTAAATTAAGCAGTGTTGTTTTTGTACTGATCTTAGTTTTAATAAGCCTATTTGTGCCTTCCACCCATTGTGTGCTTTGCATTTTAGCACAAAAAGTTGTAAACACATAAATTTTGGCTCATGATTGTCAAGATTTCCAAAGTTATTTTAAATAACTTTTGCCTGCAAGATACTAATTCAACAATTTTTTTCAAAGATGCTCCAATTCTACTTTGCTACAACTATTATGACATCAAAACCAACTTTGTAAAAAAACCATTGTACAACCAACTTTCAAGATATTTTTTGCAATATTTGTCTGGATATGGAATATATAATGATTATGTTTAGTAGTAAGAAGGACTTAGCTAATAGCAGAAATTATAGCAGGATCTGCATTAGTGTAAATTACTTTTGGGACAAATTATCAGTTGCTTTCAATACACAATCTAATATTCATCTATATGAATTAATCATCTCATCCTGAACAAGTGATTGTGCTACAGACCTCAATTGATGATAATTGTCAACAATTACAAAAAAGCTTAATAGTATATTATATGCTTTTGTTTTTGCAATATTATCATTTACAACCATGTCATGGTATCGCTTTTATAATTCCATTTGCATTGGTGATATCCAAAAAGCTGCAAAAGATTATTACAGTACACCCTCCCAAAACCAATCCTGTCAAAACCGATAACCTGCTATAACTGATAAAAAATTAATCCACTATGCCTGTTCCATAATTAAAACCTGATAACTTGCCATTTTTGATAACCAATATCTAAAAGACCAGATACCTATAAGATATCAGATTTGACAGGTAATATAAATCAATTTGATTGGCTAAGATCAGGGTTTGTGCAACAGATTATATATATAAGAAATATAATCCAGCTAATTATATTTATTTGTGATCATATAACAATGGGCTATTGGTATTTTAAATTAATTTTTAAATCTAATAACCTCTTAAAAGCAATACAAAACTGTCTACCATGCGTATCAGATTTGAGAGAGTGTACTGTATCAACTTTTCAAATTCAATATAAATCACCCATTCTGGTTCTTGCTCTTGTTGCTTCGTAAGCATTTAACCACATATGATATATTATTTTCATGTTGATTATCTATTTGATTTTTATATTAACATATTGCATTGTATAGGTCATAATCATATAGTGGTTGATTAGGGAATTTCTTTAAAATATATCTATGTTGGGCTTTTGTTTCAAGCTTATATTCCTGAGTCAAAAATTTTATATCATTAAGAACTTCTTGTATAAATAAATATAGACTTGGAGCAAACTCTTTTTGATATAACACAAAAGAATGATTATGATTTTTAACAAGTTTATTAATAACTATTTCACCAGAGATTTTTTGATATTTTATATTAAACTGCCACTAGTATCTAATTTTTTTTAATTCTCTTTCTCTGTAATTTGAATTAACAAATTTTTTTTTAGGTTAATGCTCTTTAGAATTCCTACAAACAAAGTATTGGCAAATTATTATTCTATCATTATCACATTCTAACTAAAATTTTATTGCTCTAAATTCAATCTCCAGCTTATATCTTTTTAATGCATTTTTAAAAAAATTTCAATTTGGAAAAGTGTACTAGCTTTAATTACGTGATTATCATTCTTATCCCTACAATTAGATTCTTCATTACTTTAGTACTCATGTTGTATAATTTTCTAATCAATGCCATGTTGTTCTTGTATTAATTGTGTTAACTCTTCAGTTATTTAACTATTACTAAAAGAATTACTAAGAGTTTTATTATAGAAGTCAAAACAATTGTTGATATTCAGATCATTAATGAAAGAAAAGTTAAGTGATGTTATGAATGCTATAAAAAAGAAATAAACAGTTAATATATAGTATAGTAATAAAAATTCTAACTATTGCACTTATTTTTTTTATATATATATATTTTGTAGTAGTTATTAATTTACTATACTTTCTTGTTTTTTATTATAAATACGAAGATATGGATCTAAAAATAAAGATTCTGAAATGTTATTTGATATGGCTAAAAAGATGCAAACCAAATTTATTAAAGTAATCTCAAAATATTTTGGATATACAATATTAAATGCAAGTATAGTATATTATTAAAGATAGTAAATGATTCTATTATAATATTTAAATTAAAAATTATCTCTAATTATTATTATTTTTTTATATATACTCATTTTGATTTATGCAAATAATCCTTTGTATATGTTTTTTACTAAATTTGGTATTTGGAAAAATTTTTTTATTTGATAAATTTATATCAATTTGTGATAAAATTTTTTTTTATTTTTATAAATAAAAATTATTTTTTATTTGGGTAAATTTATATCAATCTGTGATATCACAACTACGATATAATATCACAACTATAAAATTAAAAAAATATATAATATTAGTAATAAAAAAATAGTAAAAAATTAAAAAATATTTGTGAAGTCCAAATAGAATAAAAAATTAAAAAAATTAAGCTACAAATTTTGCTATAGTGTTAATATAGTTAGCCACTTAATGCTACCAAGCTCTGGCCTATTTTGACTCTGGATTCAGGCTAATTTGCTGAATTTTTGTTGTGCCACTAATCTATATATATTAATAAATACAGGCTGGCTGCAAACAATAAAGAATTGCAAAATTTGCAGGATTCTACTGCAAGAAGGAGGGTTGGGTACAAAAGTAAATATAGTACAAGTCTTTTTTCAAGTATTCATAGTATAGTTTGGTATTTTTTAAATTCTATTTTTATTTTTATTTGTTTTAGAAAGAGCCCCAATTCTGCTCTAACTTATCCTAACCGACTGCATCTTCATTAGGTCTGTTAAAAATTTTTGTTTATTTATTTTTTGAGATTTTATTAATATCATCCTAACTGATTTGTTAAAACAACATCCTATCGTTATAGTATATGATCGTCAATATGCATGTAATTGCTGAGTTTATTTTGGCATATGCGGGATACTATTTAATGATGTAATAAATACGCGAAAGATAAAATAAATAAAAGGGGTGATCGAACAATGATCAAACTTCTTTTTCTTGTACACATTTCCTAAAAAATACTGGTTATTGTTCGTAAAAACCTGCTTATCGTTTGTTCTATGAAACAATTAAAAGAAACATTACAGTTACAAGTAAACGAAGAATAAGTTAACACCGTATAATACTTTACAAAAAATGGATCAATTTGATATTAACGGTGACAATTTAAATGAGATAAATAGCTGTGATGAGGTCGATGATAATTTAAATGAGATAAATAACTATGATGAGGTCGATGATAATTTAAATGAGATAAATAGCTGTGATGAGGTTGATGAAGATGTCCAAGGAAATATTCCATCTCGTGCTAAAATAACAAAAAGAAGGCCACTTGAAACGCTTACGATTCCTAAAGCTGCTTTTGAGCAAGCATCAAAATTATATACTGGAATGAAATTTGATCATTGGAATTATGCAAATTTGGTACTATTAGCATATAGACAATGGAATGGCTTTGTATGGCGAATTCAAGACAAAAAATTAGATAAGCATGGTGGAGTATATAAATATGTCTTTAAGTGCCGGCATGCTGGAAATTTTAAATCCAAAAAAACAGCTATTGAATCTTCACAACAACGTAACAGAAAATTAGTTAAAACTGGTTGCACTTGTTTTGTTAATATGTGTTGGCCACTTAAATCATCAAATCCGACTATTACCAAAATAAATCTTGAGCATCATGGCCATATACTCGATCCTAAAACTATTCATTTTGCTAATGTTTATCGACAGCTTCCTCAGAATATAATGGACAAGATCAAGTTTTATGTAAATACAATCCATGATATTAATCAACATACCTTAAGACGGCTTCTTAGTGGTGAATTCAAGGAACAGTTATTTTTAGACAAGGATTTGGCAAATACAATACAACAATTTCGAAGAAACAATTTGGTAGATTCTGAGCGAGATCCAGAAAATGATGCTTCAAATCTCCTTAAGGAACTACAAAAAATAAAAGAAAATGATTCTACTTGGTTTATAAACTATTATTGTATTAAAAATTGTCTTTTTCATTTATTCTGGATGACACCTAATCAACAAACCATGTATTTAAAGTATCATTATATTATTTTAACAGACAATACAGTACGAACAAACAAATATCGTATGGCATTATGTTTATTTGTAGGTGTTGATCAACATCGTCATTCTAGATTGATAGTTCAAGCACTAATGTCAGATGAAACAACTTCATCATATACATGGGTTCTCAAGAATCTTTTAACAGCTACAAATAATTTATCACCAATGACGATATACTCTGATTGTGATACCGGATTAGGGCCAGCAATTGAATATACTCTTCTGAATACACGATATTTACACTATATATTTCATATAGTTCAAAATATCAAAAAGCATTTATTACGTCCACTTGGTTCACAGTTTTCTGATTTTCAAAATAATTTTTTTATCTGTCATAATACCTTATTTGAGGAGATTTTTGAATCACGGTTCAATTCATTATAAACAAAATTTCCAGAAGCCTCCTCTTATTTGAGAAATACATTGTATCCAATTAAAGAAAAATGGGCCAAGTGTTATACTTTTCAGGTATTTTAATTCAACTATAGATATTTTAGAGTTAATTCGTTGTTATTACATATCATATAAAATTTTTTTTAGGAGTTTAATGCCGGAATGTCTTCTACTCAATGAGTAGAGTCTATTAATGCCGTAATACATAAATATGTCAACTCAAATTCAACGTTAATGGAATGTTTTAATGGGATACAAAGTATGCTGTCTTCTGAACTTCAAAAGGCTGAATATCAGGACTATTTAAAAAATTTGCCTTTTACAATTGGGTCTTCGTCAGCAGTTCGTGTTTTTCCTGAAATAATTGAGCTTTTAAAATCTGTTTTAACAGATGAGCTATTTCAAATTCAAAAAGCTCAAATTGACATATGCTTTAAATATTATTCAAGATTAATTCCTTCAAACCAATACAGTACTTGTGACGAAGTAAGTTAGAATTCATTTTGATATAAAGTAATTATCATAGCTATTCTATACTAATATTTAAATTTCAAAGATTAATAGTTCTGAGACTTTTAATTGTCTTGAAGACTTTACAGACAAATGCCAAATTGCACTTAACTCTCTTATTAATCGCATTGGTCTTACTAATATTCAAGAAATTTGGGAGATTAAGCATCTGGCGGCTAAAACAACATCACTTAACTATGTCACATTAATTAAAGACAATTTGCATGTTTGTACATGCTTACTTTTAGTTAGTGATGGACTAGTTTGCCGTCACTTTTTTCAAGTAATGCTACAAACTATAACGGCAAAATTTAGCATTGTATTAATTAAAAGTCGATGGTACAAAGTAAATATTAATACTGTTAAAGATAAAATCAACACTATATATGATTCGTTTGGAGTAGATATTAATGCTTCTAATTCAGAAGCTGAAAGTTTGACTTTAGCTTCTATATACAATATTCGGGAGGATCATTCAATTCAAGATTCCGAGATTGAAAATTCTATTGTAAAAAAACAAATTTATGGTGAATGCGCAGCTTTAGGGCGTAAGCTGGCATTATTGGCAGCTGAATTTAATTTAATGCATATTGCTGCTACATTACAAGGCTTAATTCAGCAAGTAGAACAAGCCAATTCTAACTTTGCGAGTAATCAAGATCAGGAGATAATTTATAATCCTTTACCAGCTAATTCAAGAGGAAGACAACGTAAACGTATAAAGGCATCTGTAGACAATATTCTAAAGAGTTCCAAAAACAAAACTGTAAGTACTAATGTGCGTTCTACAAATGGATATACATGTCATAACTGTCTTGAAGAAGGCCATAATGCTAGAAGCTGCAATGCACTATGTAAAATTTGTAAAGAGGCTAGTCATACGTATTTATATTGCAAAAAGGAAGATTTAGCTTCTTGTTAGATTTAATGTTATGTATAATTAATTGTTAGATTTATTGCTATCGCTATATGCAATTAATTTCTGATAATTGCTATTGTATAACTAACTATTGAATATTATTACTATGCTTTATTTTATTAGTTTTTTTTTTGCTTACTAACCATTGAATATCGTTACTATGCTTTATTAGTTTTTTTTTGCTTACAAAGATACTAATAAATTTAACTTTTAAGATACTAATAAATTTAACTTTAAAGATAATAACATAGCAAATACAGTTTAGACGGCATGCAAAAATAAAGTTCATTCAAACTCTCAAAATTTTAGTTTGAAATAAAGTTCTAAAGATAGTTTTATTAAACTGTTTCAACATTAATTTTATAGTGCAAAAAGAACTAAAAAAACAAAATTACTAATTAGAAACTTAATTTTGAAATCCCCATAGTTTTGAACTAGTTCTAAACTCAAAAATAATGATAAAGCTAAACCAACTCTAATTTATTATATTTATTAACATAGTAAATATAAAGCAGTTCGTACAAAGCATAATTCGTCTTCTAGCAAAGTTGTTTTGCTAGTATTTGATTAGGAAAAACAGAAGTTCGCAGGCCGAAGGTCTGCGAATGTATAGGGAATATCTAATAATACAGCTTAATTCATTAATATAATAGTTCGTACAAAGCATAATTCATCTTCTAGCAAAGTTGTTCGCAGACCTTTGGCCTGCGAACTTCTGTTTTTTCTAATCAAATACTGGCAAAACGTATTGGGAATACCTAATAATACAGCTTAATTCATTAATATAGTAGTTTGTACAAAGCATAATTCATCTTCTAGCAAAGTTGTTTTGCTAGTATTTAATTAAGAAAAACAGAAGTTCGCAAGCCAAAGGTCTGCGAACATATAGGGAATATCTAATAATACAGCTTAATTTATTAATATAATAGTTTGTACAAAGCATAATTCATCTTCTAGTAAAGTTGTTTATAGACCTTCAGCCTGTGAACTTCTGTTTTTTCCAATCAAATACTAGCAAAACATATTGGGAATACCTAATAATACAGCTTAATTCATTAATATAGTAGTTCGTACAAAGTATAATTCGTCTTCTTGCAAAGTTGTTTTGCTAGTATTTGATTAGAAAAAACAGAAGTTCACAGGCCGAAGGTCTGCGAACGTATAGAGAATACCTGATAATACATTAATATAGTAGTTCATACAAAGCATAATTTGTCTTCTAGCAAAGTTGTTTTGCTAGTATTTGATTAGAAAAAACAGAAGTTCGCAGGCCGAATATATAGAGAATACCTAATAATACAGCTTAATTCATTAATATAAAGTAGTTCATAATGTATAATTTGTTTTCTAGCATACCAAAGGTCTGCAAACATCTTTACGTTGTATACATTTCAATATTGAGTATTATCATATAATATATATCTCACGGAACTATTATAAATATAGACTATTTAGTATTATTTATATATTTATATATAACAGGATACTATTTAATAACATCATCCAGGCTGGTGGTTAGAAATACTCTAATTAATTATATATAAAAATAATATTATTTAATTAATTGTATAAAAATAAATTATTTAGAATCTAAGAATTTAAAA